GTTGAACCGATTGTTGGCGAACGTTTAATTGCAGAATTTCACAAGGCACCACCTTCAACAGTCCCAGCACAATATATGCCTATCACTGGTCCTTTATTAACTCAACCGTTAAACATCGATAATCAAAGCATTGGTGGTGATACAAAAGACAGGTAAGGACGAATTTAGCACATTAGATTTAATTATTAATTTATAGTTTCCTAACATTATTAATTAATACCTTCAGAAGGGAATCATTATCTTCTCAAAGTGGTGCACCATCATCGGTTCAAGCTTCTTTGCAACCAATGATGGATTCCAATTTTATTCAAACTGCTCAACCAACATTCTACCCTCCACCAACTTATTGGCATCCCCAACATATGATAATGCCTCCGTTTAGTACTGGAACTTCAGCACCAGGATACATCTCTGCTCAACAAGCGTGGACAACATCAGTTCCTAAAGATTCATCTGGAGTCAGTCGTATACAACCAACTCAATCAACTGGTGTGAATTGCGCTGCTAATATGTCACCAGCGATGCCTTTGGAACAACAATACGTGGAGGTAATATGGGTAAATATAGTCATCCAAGTATCAAGCAGGATGGTTATTTCAATAAAATTTCCATTAATATCACATTACTTAATTTGTTTTCTTATATTTTAGACACCCGTTACTCAACATCATTATCCTTCGGCGCCTGTTCAATTTTATCCTAATAATCCTGGTAATACAGTAATTGCACAATATCAACATGCACAACATTATTATCGCAACTCTGAGGAACAGTATCAAGCGACATCTCAGCCACAAGAGCCAAATTCGGAAAGTGATACTAATATTGTGTCCTATCTGATCGAAGAACAAAGGAAAGGCCTTGAGGCTACAAGTAGTGCATAGGAAAATTTGATGAAGCAATTATGATTAATTTGTTTTAAATGATTTATTTCGTGTCTTTTTTTTTTTTTTTTTTTTTTTTTAGAATTTAAAGGCATTAAGCTTGTTTGTCGGCCAAGGAAGGTAATTTTTATAATGATCCCATTTTACTTAATATTAATTATATTTTTCATATTAATTATATCATTTATTTTACAATGATCTTAGCAAACCCCCTCGGATTTGAAGTTAAAATCCGAAACTTGTTCAGATTTGGCTTCAGATAACACTCCTCCTCCTACTCCTTCTGAAGCTGGTTCTACTACATCATCTCGATCACGAAGGTCATCATTACCTCCGCGACAACGAATCAGACAACCTTCAGTGGCTTCAATGTCTCCTGCTTCATCTGTTTCTTCTCTAAAACCTTCATCACTTAATAGATATTTCATTCTTAAATCTTTGACCCAAGATGATCTTGATATTTCTGTTAAAAGTGGATTTTGGGCTACTCAACCACACAATGAAGCGGCATTAAATAAAGCTTTTAAAGTATAATTCTTTATATTTTTATTTACTTCGATTTTTATGCTTATAATTACATGAAAAACTTATTATTCTCTCTATATATATATATATATATATATATATTAATAGAGTGCTGAAAACGTGTATCTTATTTTTAGCGCTAATAAAAGTGGCGAATTTTATGGCTACGCAAAGTGAGAATTAAATAACATTCTTTGAATTAATTTATAAATTATATTTTAATATATTTTCAATATTTTAATATATTTTCAATATTTTAATCGATTTTCAATATTTTAATCTATTTTCAATATTTAATATATTTTCAATATTTAAATCTATTTTAAATATTTTAATCTATTTTCAATATTTAATCTATTTTCAATATTTTAATCTATTAATTATAGGATGGTGAGTCCTATTAGTAAAGAGACTACAGAAACTGTACAGTGGACACCGATTGATGAAGCGGCTTTGGCAGCTTCTTCATCACGGCCTTCCCCAGTCCAGGAAGATATGAAAACTAGAGTAAAAAATTCTCAGGATGAAGATAATGATGATTGTGAAGATGACGGTGTTCCATCACGAAATTGGGGAACTACGTTTAAAGTTGAATGGATGAAAGTGTGAGTTAGTTTTCATTATAATAGTCTAATAGTTCAAGCAGAGTATTTATCATCATTTTGATGATGTAAGTAGGCAAAAACTTCCGTTCATGCGTACGCGTCATCTTCGTAATCCTTGGAACGCGAATAGGGAGGTGAAAATTAGCCGAGATGGTACCGAAGTTGAACCGATTGTTGGCGAACGTTTAATTGCAGAATTTCACAAGGCACCACCTTCAACAGTCCCAGCACAATATATAAATAATAAATAATAGTAATAGTAATAATAACAAATATATAAATAATAAATAATAGTAATAGTAATAATAATAAATAATAATAAATTTTTAATAACCTCCATGTTTTCATCTGTGAAAAAATCTATCAATTCTTCATGAGTAGTAGATTCCGGTAAATTTCCGACCCAAAGGGCCTTATCCAGCTGTTTAGGTTTCTTATGTTGATTTATTCTTGGGGTATGTTGTGGACCCAAATCAGGAGTTCTGACCTGATCCAAAGAGCTTCTTCTGGAAGAGAAACCTGAATCACCACCCGCAGTACTAGGTGGATTAAGATATCTCGAAGGATGTGATTGATGTGGGATCAAAGGAGAAGGACTGTGGTAAGAAGGATGAATAGGAGGTATAACAGATATTTGATGATAAGGATAAATATTTGATCTGACAAAATGTTGAGCAGATGGTGGTATTTGTGGAGGACGACCAAATCTGTATTGTGGATCATAATAATATTGTCCATTGTTGGGAAAAAACGCAGGAGTAAAATACTGTGGTGTGACTGATATTAAAGGAGGATTTGCACTCAGATTTTGATATATATGGGGCGCTTCATCATAAGTTGGGCCGGTACCGTTAGAATAGGAATTGTTAGCATTGCTCGCGGCGGTGTTCGTATTGGAAGAGCCAGAGAGAGAAGCGGAGGATGAAGAAGCAGGAATACTGATGTTTTGTTGTGGTCATGTTAATTAAAGAACTAAATATAGGATTGAATTGTGGTGTTGATACATAGCAGAACAAATATTGGGTTTCAACAACCTTAGAGAATTACCGTTATTACACTGTATCTGAGAAACCGAGGACACATTTTCTTGATCATATACATTAATATCACTATTAACATTACTGGCATCAACGATATTTTTTGAAGCACCCACCGGAATGTCATCATCACCAGAAATACTGTTAGTCGTAGTAATACCTTTTTCTGACACGCTTTGATAAGCATTTACAGGAATTGAAATGTCTTTATCATTATTCTCACACTGACGTCTAGTTACATTAGCTTTTATTTCCTGGCTCGAATCAGCAGTCGAGCTAGGTTCGTTTTGTGATTGTTGACCCTGAAAACTTGGGAGAGTCGAAGACGCGGTCTTTTTAGGGGCAGTAGCACTGGTAGGTACATTTTCTCGTGACTCCTTATTTGTCGATGTCGATGTCGTCTGTTGCGACTGAACTTCAATCACTTCCTCTCGAGACATGATATACTGTGTAAAAAGTATCACTTCTGAATACTTTAATAACTGCCCTTTTAAATATAATGGTTATTTACTTTAATACTTATAAACACGAACAAATAAAAAGAACACGACCTTTTTTTCAGTCTATATAAAAACAATAAACAGCACGCTGACCTTCGAAATTGTACAAGAATTATACAAAATAAAAAAAAATATTTACAGAAAAAAAGAAAAAAAAAAAAGAATTCAAAGGAAGATAGGAGAAGCTTTGTCCTCGGGTTATTACTAGGTTGGCCTAGGTTGAACTAAAGGAAACAGAAGAAAAATATAAAAAAATAAATCAAGAAACACCTTAGAGGAGGCCAACTATTAAAGGTTTTTTTTTTTCCTTATAATGAATGGGGTAGGATACGGGCTAGCCGGATTGCTGGCCTAGTGGAAATATCATAAAAGAAAAGAAAAGGAAAAAATTTTTATTTGTGTTCAAGTTGGAAGTTCATTCAACGGTTGATATACAGCAGACACACAATAGACGTATGTGCGTTAACTTTATTTATAACAGTAGTCACTCTGTCTCACCTGCTTTGTATATTATCAATTGTAAAATAATATTAATCACTTAACGTTAATCACCTTTATTTTTTTTACTCCGCGTTCATGTACCGCTGAACTTCAGCAATCACCCGCTTACTTACTCATCAATTTATTACGTACGTACGTATATGAGAGACTATCTTATTGATAAACCTTGACAAACAGTAGCTTAATTAATCATGAGCCAGATTTATAATCTTTGAAAATCGAATGAACTCTGAAATAATTTCTTTTAATAAAAAATGTTGGGTTTATTTTGGTAATTCCGCATGAAATGATGAAAAATATTCCAATATTCTTCTGCTTTTTTTATACATAGGACAGAAGAGGTAAATAATTAAAGAATTACAAATTTATAATTAACATGAGTTGATTCTTAGTACGTAAAGGTCTTTCATCACTGATTCGCTTCTTTCCTCTCTATAAAATACCCCATTTGTTCATGCTGATCGGTTCATTTTGCTTTAAATTTTCAAACATTTTGACATATCGATATCTCCTGTTGTCACTATATGTACACAAACATAAAACCTTGTGCCAGTTTTTCTTTCTGTTTGTTGCTACGTACTTCTTCTGCATTAAAAACATGGTCCTACCAAACATTTCTTTATTCGATTATTAACAAAGAAATCACGTGATATATATTCGTTCTAATTACATAATCAACGCTCATATTGATTGTTCAGATTGTTCAGAGCATTACTAAAGTTGCGTTGTTGATACTTCTTACCTATAATTACTTTATTATGAAAAATTTTCTGCGCGTGTTTATATTTGTACTTGTGTAATAAAAATACGCGTTTGTGTAATATGTTAGTATAAAAATATTATATACGTACTGTTTTTTTTAAAAAACTTAACTATATAGTATATATCGATATTAGTCAATAAAATCTTTTTTTGACTAGAGTTAAAGTGAGTTCTTTATATGAAAATTAAATATTAAAAACTTTTAACAGAATTTCATATTTAAAATTAGGACCTCGGATATCTTAGCTAAATGTAGTACAAAGTGTTTTTAGCAAAAATCTTTAAAATTTATTTAGTTTTTTTAGATTATTTTATAGAAGTTTGCTATAGGGACCTCAGTGCGATGCGAAATGAAAGGGCGGATTATGCGATGCGATTGGTCCAAATTATGCCCCCGATGCTCACCATACACAAAATTATGCGAAATGATAGAAAAATTATGCGATTTTTTTTAAAATACGTAATAAATTTTATTTATTTATTGAAATTTAAAAAATTCAACATGCTAATCGAATTTTTAGACAAATTCTGTCTGTTTTTGCTAAAATTCTATTATATGTAGAGAAACTACGCTCTACATCTACACCTGAAATAGGTAACCAAATATAAATTAATGCTAATTTAGGTAAATTTGGTAAAATTTTTAATTTTTCTTGCCAATAATTATCCAAATCAAAATTTTCTTCAAACAATTCATTCAAACCATAATAAATTTCTTATTCTATAATTAATTCATTTGTAGGGCATGGAGGATTATAAGAACAATATTTATTCTAACCAAGTTTAAGAGGCCTATTAAAGAGTACAAATTGGTTTTGGTGAATTTGAAAAAGCCCAAATCCAAATTTCACCTAAATAACCAAAGATTTTTAAATTCTTCTATATAATTATAGAGTAATATATTGTGATTGTGTAGTTGTAATTGAATAAAGTATGAGTCAAAACATCTAGTAGCATTAAAAATTAAAATTGTAAAATTATTATTAATATGTTTGTCAAATTTAGCTAAAGCAAATTAAAATATTTTTTTAAAAAAACAATCATAAATAGTAGAATCAAAATTAAAATTTTTACAAAGTTTTATTATTTCATTTGATTTAAATAGAATTTCAATTTTAAATAACAATTTTGTTTTCAACTCTCCCTGCTAATTATCTAAACCATTATGGAGCAAATATTTTTTAAATACAAAATAATTTAAAACTCTAGGAAACCTAGCAAAATAGTAGTTATTAAATAGAAGTGTGA